CCCCCTCTTGGTCTGCAATTACAATCCAATGCTTGGGAAGCACAGCACGAATCAGCTCCAGTGATTGTTCGAGAAATTTAGCCTTTGATGAAGCAGTATTTTCCTGAAAAATTAGTCAACATTAGATTTCTTTACAGTCAATAATAACACACAAAATCAAGAGAGAAATGAGTATTTCAGAACAAACTGAGTACAAACCTCCAGTATTGAATCACTATCAGAAAAGTCCTGCAGTGCGTCCATAAAATCATTGGTGTCATTGCTGTCCGAACATGCAACACTGGGTCCTGGACTGGGCATTGAACCAATACTGATGTCACTGAAGCTGGTGTCATCACTGGGAACGGGGCTGGGAGAAGGACTGAGACTTGGACTTCTCAATTCCCCAACCTATGCACAGGAGAAAAAAAAAGGTACATTATTGTGCTTTAGGGTGCACTGTAGACTGATTCCGAGAGTCGTTTTCGTTGCTCTGTCTCTCTCGCACGCATGCGGACTCCCGTATAGGTGCGAGAGAGACAGAGCGACAAAGACGAAATGGAATCATTCAGCTGGGAAATGACAACAAAGACACTAACCGGTACATCTGGCGTTGTGGGTCGTCCTGCAACATAACCTCGCCCGGCTCCACCGCTGTCCCGATGAAAACGACCGCTTTTGACATGCGTAAAGGAACTCCTCCGGCCTTTCCGCGGCATGTTGACGATGAACCTGAAAAGTCCAGAACGTTTAGGCATCTACTAACCTCCACGCACAGTTGGTTCAGACGAGAAAGCGACAAGTCTGACTCAAGTATAATTGCACTGTACGCGCTCAAACTAACCTTTAACGGCAAGGACACTCATAAATTAAAGGAGTTAACAACTTGACGTGCGACTGACGTGCGACTTGAACAAAGAACGCGAAAGAACGGGAGCGGGAGCGAGCCTTGGTCTTGTCTTGGCGCGTCGTCTTGGCTTCTGCTAGAGGCCCGGGGCGGGGGCGACGCTAGCGCTCCAAGCGGCGGAACTCGGCGGAGTCGTTACGCGGCGCAGACAAGGCGGTTGCTCGTCCCCGGGTCCAGACGGCAGATTCAACGGTAGCTGACTTTACGAGAGCCCTGTTCAAACTGAGTGTGTTCAAAACTTGAAATGTTGTGAAGTTTAGTTGTAGTGGACCTTGGGGAAGCCATCGGTGAGTTCGGATTCCAGATTTATTGCAAATTGGCGGAGGAGTTAGCTTCGCCAGGTCGCGAGTCGGCGTCCAGGGCCGTCCTAGTCCCTACTCCAGTATAGTTATACTTACAAGGAGACAGCAAGGGCACGCTCTAAATCGGTGTTCTGCTTCAAAAGGAAAGCGAAATTCGACTTTGACTTTGTGTGCTTTCGGCACTTCGCATAGCACGACGCTAAAAAATCTCCTCAAGTGTCATCGTCGCCAATCGCACTGGTACTATGCGAGACCGCAAGGGCACGCTCTAGATCGGTGTTCTGCTTCAAAAGGAACGCGAAATTCGACTTTGACTTTGTGTGCTTTCGGCACTTCGCATAGCACGACGCTAAAGAATCTCCTCAAAAGTAATCGTCGCCAATCGCACTGGGACTATGCGGGATCGCAAGGACTCGCTCTAAATCGGTCCTCTGCTTCAACAGGAACGCGAAATTCGACATTGACGTTGGGTGCTATCGGCACTTCACGTAGCTCGACGCTAAAGAATCTTCTCAAGTGTCATCGTCGCCAATCGCACTGGGACAATGCGGGATCGCGAGGGGAACGCTCCAAATCGGTCCTTTGCTTCAACAGGAACGCGAAATTCGACTTTGACTTTGTGTGCTTTCGGCACTTCGCATAGCACGTTCTCGTAAGTCATCGTCGCCAATCGCACTGGGACCATGCGGGATCGCAAGGGCACGCTCTAAATCGGTGTTCTGCTTCAAAGGGAACGCGAAATTCTACTTTGACTTTGTGTGCTTTCGGCACTTCGCATAGCACGACGCTAAAGAATCTCCTCAAGTGTCATCGTCGCCAATCGCACTGGTACTATGCGAGACCGCAAGGGCACGCTCTAGATCGGTGTTCTGCTTCAAGGGGAACGCGAAATTCTACTTTGACTTTGTGTGCTTTCGGCACCCTAGAGAAAATAATAGGTGAACCGGGGCTGCGGTTACCTGAGCAAAACTGTTACTGCACTGAAACGAAACTGGCACAAAGCTGAGGCTAGACCTGAACGGAAGCTACAAGTCAACTGATACACACTGAAATCGTACTGCCGAAAACCAACCGAAAGCTGTCTTGGAACTGAAGGCAGAAAAGAGCTGGCCCAGAACTGAGGAAGACCGATGAAAAAAGGCTGCTTCTTGCTAACCACACGCTGACAGAAACGTGCAGGATATGCCATGACTGAGTACAAACTGATATTTACGTTGACGCGACACTGATATTCCTCAAAGTTCGGCTGCCTCTAGCTGAGCGCCCGTGCCTCGTGCTGAAAGAAGCTGCCGCTCTGCTGACACGTCCACTGAGCTGGACGGACCGCTACTGATCCACTAACTGACTCGAGACTGAGGCTGCTCAACGGTTGGCTGCCGTGAGCTGAGCGGCCGTGCCTCGTACTGAATGAAGCTGCCGTTCTGCTGACACGTCCACTGAGCTGGACTGATAGCTACTGACCTACTTACTGACTCAATACTGAGGTTGCTCAACGTTTGGCTGCCGTGAGCCGAGCGGCCGTGCCTCGCGCTGAAAAAAGCTGCCGTTCTGCTGACACGTCTACTGAGCTGGACTGACAGCTACTGACCCACTTACTGACTCAATACTGAGGTTGCTCAACGTTTGGCTGCATCCAGCTGAGGGGCCGTGCCTCGTGCTGAATGAAGCTGCCGTTCTGCTGACACGTCCACTGAGCTGGACTGACAGCTACTGACCCACTTACTGACTCAATACTGAGGTTGCTCAACGTTTGGCTGCATCCAGCTGAGGGGCCGTGCCTCGTGCTGAATGAAGCTGCCGTTCTGCTGACACGTCCACTGAGCTGGACTGACAGCTACTGACCCACTTACTGACTCAATACTGAGGTTGCTCAACGTTTGGCTGCATCCAGCTGAGGGCCGTGCCTCGTGCTGAATGAAGCTGCCGTTCTGCTGACACGTCCACTGAGCTGGACTGACAGCTACTGACCCACTTACTGACTCAATACTGAGGTTGCTCAACGTTTGGCTGCCGTGAGCCGAGCGGCCGTGCCTCGCGCTGAAAAAAGCTGCCGTTCTGCTGACACGTCTACTGAGCTGGACTGATAGCTACTGACCCACTTAATGACTCAATACTGAGGTTGCTCAACGTTTGGCTGCATCCAGCTGAGGGGCCGTGCCTCGTGCTGAATGAAGCTGCCGTTCTGCTGACACGTCCACTGAGCTGGACTGATAGCTACTGACCCACTTACTGACTCAATACTGAGGTTGCTCAACGTTTGGCTGCCGTGAGCCGAGCGGCCGTGCCTCGCGCTGAAAAAAGCTGCCGTTCTGCTGACACGTCCACTGAGCTGGACTGACAGCTACTGACCCACTTACTGACTCAATACTGAGGTTGCTCAACGTTTGGCTGCATCCAGCTGAGGGGCCGTGCCTCGTGCTGAATGAAGCTGCCGTTCTGCTGACACGTCCACTGAGCTGGACTGACAGCTACTGACCCACTTACTGACTCAATACTGAGGTTGCTCAACGTTTGGCTGCATCCAGCTGAGGGGCCGTGCCTCGTGCTGAATGAAGCTGCCGTTCTGCTGACACGTCCACTGAGCTGGACTGACAGCTACTGACCCACTTACTGACTCAATACTGAGGTTGCTCAACGTTTGGCTGCATCCAGCTGAGGGCCCGTGCCTCGTGCTGAATGAAGCTGCCGTTCTGCTGACACGTCCACTGAGCTGGACTGATAGCTACTGACCCACTTACTGACTCAATACTGAGGTTGCTCAACGTTTGGCTGCCGTGAGCCGAGCGGCCGTGCCTCGCGCTGAAAAAAGCTGCCGTTCTGCTGACACGTCCACTGAGCTGGACTGACAGCTACTGACCCACTTACTGACTCAATACTGAGGTTGCTCAACGTTTGGCTGCCGTGAGCCGAGCGGCCGTGCCTCGCGCTGAAAGAAGCTGCCGTTCTGCTGACACGTCCACTGAGCTGGACTGACAGCTACTGATCCACCAACTGACTCGAGACTGAGGCTGCTCAACGGTTGGCTGCCGTGAGCTGAGCGGCCGTGCCTCGTACTGAAAGAAGCTGCTGTTCTGCTGAAACGTCCACTGACCTTCACGCACAAGAAATGCCATCTGAGATGAAATGACTTACTTGCATAATTGTCACGAATCTGTTTTTATTTCGCACTGGAGCTGCTTTGATTCTAAGTTTGGAGTGTTAGCAACAGAAGCTGCAAACGATGCTTAACAATACAATATCCAAGTGCGTAATTTGTAACAAATTGGGACAATTTACATTTAACATATTGCACTAGTGACTGTTAAATATATCAACACAGGTACGTACGTAGTCAAAAACTTAAAAGAAACAACACAGTACTAAATAAAATGGCCACTGGAAACTAACAATTTGCATTTGGAAGTGCGTAAACTTATTGTCACTTCCGACAGGAATATGTTTAACTGCAATGGCCATTTTTTCACAAATCAAATGAGAAACAAAGATATTTAAAAAAAAAGAAGGTTTAACACTGCTCAAAAGAAAATAGAAATTCAGAAAAGAGTTTGACACTGTTCAAATTGTTCAAGATGTATCACTACCAGTTTCTTCATCACAACTGGACTCCTCACCATCTTGATGTTCAATCTCTTCTTCCTCGTCATCCGCCTCTGATTCTGTTTCATTCTGATTCCTTTCATTGTCATCACTCTCCTGTTCTTGTCCTTTCTCTTTCTTTTTACTATTTTCACCTCTGGCTGTTTTCTGATGTTTTGGTGTTGACGATGATGCCATACCTTTCCAGAACTATAAGAAAATGAGAATGTAAACAATTTTTACTAACGACATATGTTTACTTCAAAAACAGTTTAAATGTTATAGAGTCTGGAACAATAAGATTGATGTTTTGAAACTAAAGAACCATCCAGGTAATTTTTCTCACCTCAGTCTTATGTGACTTGACCTCTTGACTTATGTGCTTTGACTTCAAAGATAAATCTTTCTGCTTGTCAGGGAACTGCAAAGTGAAAAATGAACATGAGTTTACCTTGTATGTGAGCATAGAAAGGGAAATTGAAACGCACTGTCATGTTTTCTGCTAAACCAATCCAATAGAGAGGCAATTGTTCGAACGACTATCACATTACAATAAGTATACAATAAAAGTATTAAAAGCTTCTTACCCCTGGTTCATGGGTCTTCTTTTTTATTTTTTTTGCAATTGGGGAAAGCTCAAAATCAGTTTGCTCCTTGGTGTTGATATCCAGAATATCCTAAATAAAAAACATTAACTATGTTTAAATTGAGAGTAAGTAGTGTAAGTAAGCTCAAGTTAAATAATTGCAAACAAAACTACATGAGGTAAGTGTTAAAAATAATCCTAAAAGTTTATCTTTGTAGCCTGGAGAAGTAATGTTTCTCTTCGTTGTCAGGAACTAACTCACCTGTACTGATCTAGGGCGCTTGTTGCCTTTTGTGGGATGGTCATGGGAGTCATTCTTTACCTTTTTCTTTTTCATTTGTTTAGGCGAGGGCGAATAGGGCACCTGTGGCACAGCTTTCTTCTTGCTTGAACTAGATTTAGACTTGCTCTTGCTCCTGCGCCTTTTCAAACGTTTTTGCTCATCACAATTCTTATCCCCCTTTCTGCGTTTGAATCTTTGGTCCAAAGCTTCACCATCACTTCCCTTATCCTTCTTCGCATTTTCATTGCTTTCACCATCGCCAAGTGAAGACTCAGTTTCCTTCTGCTTCTTCTTATTTTTGACCAAAGGTTTTCTGACCTGCTCCGAATTTTTCCCCCATAATTTCCTCCTCTCGCAATAACATTTGGCATTAATACTTTCATTAACACTTAACTTGTCAACGCCCGTGAACTTATTCTGGAGGTATACTGCAACAGAAATGTTTTTAATTAGCATATTAGCTATGATTGGAGAGGTGATATAAAAAGAGTGACTGTTACTTACTCAATATAGTGTCTTTAATCTTTGGATCCATTTTGGTCGACCCTGGAGTTCTTCCTTCTGCCGTCATATTAGCCAAGACACTTGGTTCAAACAGATCATCCATAATGGCATAAACGTAATCTCTATCGGTTGAGTTTGGGTCTTTGTCGAGGATTTTCAATTTTCCTTTACAGGTAACAGAAATGTTGGTGGAACACCCTTTGTACAGGGGAATTAACTGAAATAAAATATAAAGATAAAATTAGCAAACAGTTAATTTCTTGTCATGAAAGAGAATCTGATGATAAAACAAAAATTATGTACCTGGTCGTCTCCTTGTTGTAAGGAAGTGTTAAATGTAAGGCCACTTCCATTCAAGTCTTTCGCTCCCTAAAAAATAACATAATGAAAATCAATAAAAATCAATTTTAAAATCAATAAACTACTGTGAGACTCTGTTTACAAAACAACAAACATACTTTAACATTTTCATTGCTGTATACACAGTCATCTCCATAGCCTTTACACATATAGGTGGAAAACTTTTGAACTATATCTGTGGAAAGAATATTTATTTGAAACACTCCATGAACAGAGCTGGACATAAGACATGAGAGGAAAAATTACCTTTGCACTTGATACATGTACACAACAGGAAGCACTGATCAGTTTGAGACTGAGTATCAACAAATAACGGCATTGTAGTGTCAAGAAAAGTGGATGTGTCTTGACTTTCACTTCGGATTTCATCAGTCTTCACTTCCACAGTTGAAAATGATTCCACATGAGGATTCGGAACCTGGCTTTGTTTGTCTTTGTCTACCAAAGGATGTGATTGACGCTCAGCATTCTTAGCAACGATCGTGCCAGATATGGCTTCAGACGCAGTATCTTTCTTATTTTCTTGCCGCCCAAATGCATTTTCATTCTTGTTTTCTTGCAGCACAAATGCATTATCATTCCTCTTTTCTTTCGACACAATTGCTTTTTCAATCATGTTTTCTTGCAGCACAAATGCATTATCATTCCTCTTTTCTTTCGACACAATTGCTTTTTCAATCATGTTTTCTTGCAGCACAAATGCATTATCATTCTTCTTTCCTAGCCGCACAATTGCATTTTCATTCTTGTTTTCTTGCGGCACAGATGCATTTTCATTGTCGTCCTCATTTTCAGAACAAGAATTAACAGTGACTCCATCTGCATCAATGACATCATTATTAATATTCATTAGCATCTTTATCCTCAGATCTGCCTCTACCTTTTGATTACGTTTGAGCTCTTTGTTCTCAGATACAGCAGCAGTTGCAGGCCCCTCACCTAGAAGGTTCATGAAAGACCCAGAGGACATAGCTCCAAGATTCACTACATCCTTACTTGAACCAGCATTTCTGGCGCTTCTATACGGTCTTCCGGAGGATCTACCACCTGTCCTGGCTTGACTTGTGTCTGCGTCTCCAATTACTTCACCTCCATCTACAACAGAAAGAAACAAACCATGTCGGGGATACAACCAAACAAGAGAAGGAGGAAAATGTCCCAATAGCAAATTGTGAGAGTAGCCTCAGAGGCTCTCTACAAAATGTAATTCAAATTCAAAAGGTTAAGGTACATAAAGCTAACCTAACCAGGTACAATTCTCAGATAGCAAACTTTAAAGAACTCATATGAAGTTTCATCACTCGTGACTTTTCTTGAGTTTTAAAAGAAAATGGTCTCTTTATCGAACAAAACAAGGGCAGCTTAGACAATGAACCTGTCTCTGTCCGTCGTGAACATGGGTGAACACAAAGCCTTTAACAAACTTACCATCAAACTTGAGGTGTTTCTTGATATCTTGCTTCCTAATCACCATTGTGATCACGCCTTAAAGGCGATTTCTTAAAAGATTTCAGTATAGTTTTTCTGATTTTCTACTAAGGATCAGGACAACCGTTGAAGATGAGACAGAGCGAGAGCGAAGTACAAATGGCGCGGAAGTCCGTTCGTCTTTTGGTTGACGTAGGCCCTCGTACCAACCTTACAAAGTCACTTCCTTGAATAACCCGCGTTATTGAAAGAAAAATATGTTTGGATGATAGAAGCCGAAGATTCGAAATGTTGCAAGTATAGTTTGGGGTCATTCCTAAAAACTGTCTGTTTGGAATCAACCAATAAACGGAACAAAGATTTTTTTTCAAAAGCACCTTAAATATCAATGCAAGTAAGCCAACCTGAGAAATACAATCACAATTTTAAACCTTTATTTTTTTAAATACTGTTCTTATTTTACTCGCAAGGGTGTTATATTTTCTTATTTTTTCTTATTGGCGCAAAGATTAAATGCTGAAAACTTTTTGGAAACTTTGCACAAGAACCCCCAACGTTAGTGTTGAGTTGGCTGCTGTTACCTTTAAAGAAGACAGGAAGAAAAACAAATACAGGTGTTTATTTCGGCTGCTGTTTGCTTTTGTACTTCTGGGACTTCTGGATATTTTTATTTTTTAACTTGAATATTTTAATATGACTGACCAAGGGCCGCCTGCAAAGCGAAAGAGGGATGTTGATTCATCAGATGAAGACAAGAGGGATGTTGATTCATCAGATGAAGACACTTTAAACCAATCAACCTATGAAATCCAGCTCAGTCCAGTAGCCTCACTTGTGTCTATGGAAGGTGAAACTCTTGTTGCTTTGAAGTTGAATAAGTGTTTCTATTCTGTCTTTATTATTTCTGTTATGTGATGGTTTTGTTTCCATTTTACCAGGCTCCTCTTTGGAAAGTGAAGGTGATGAGGCAAATGTCGAACAACAAGAAACTGAAATGAACCAATCGCAACTGAACATGTCTGAAGGTATTGAATCGAGTGGTAGTTCAGGCCATTCTCTATAAATTTTGGGGTATTGAATACCAAGGGATCTCCCTGGGAACATTGTTTTCCGGAGACAACTTAAGCAATTCTGTCACAGTTTCTTTGGTAGTTTCACGAGCACAGTCAAGTTCTCGTGCCCTTGTTGACTTTAATTGACTTCTGCTTGTGTTTTATTTCCAGTGTCAGTGTCACACATAGAAGAAATTTCTTTTTCGGAGAGTATTATAGAAGATCAAGCTATCCAGCCTACAGGTACTGCTAAATCGTTATGAATGCTTTCCATTCCAATACTAAAAGTTGTATTTATATTTGTTTTTTTTTAATCCTGCAGGAAAATATGATAATACTGATGATGAAGTAGATCTGAACTCAAGCAACTTGAATGCGTCAGTCATCTCTACTACAGACAATATTACCAGTAATTACATTGATTTTAAATCCTCCCTTGATTTGAGTAGCTCAAAGTGTTTCTGTGCCTTTGGTTCCTTACTTTTTTTGATTGAATGTTCTGGTGGCACTTCCTCTGACAGTGTTACTACAATGAGAAGGTTGATTTGTGTAATGGCATTGATGGAGGGAAAATATAGAATACCAAATGTGTCTACGAGTAGGAATTTGCACGTACTTTGAATTGAGCGTTATGAAAGAGTCATGAGAGATTTTTTAACCCCGTTAAATATAGGGAACAGATCAAGACCTAGAGAAGCAAAGAATCAAAGGTGAAAGTGTTTAGGTTCAACAGTGTGAAATATAACTGCCACCGTGGGAAAGCCAAATTGCTAGTTACTGCCAGGACAATTATTCTTCACACTATTAAACCTTAACACTTTCACCTTTGATTTTTTTGCTTCTCTAGCTCTTGATCTGCTTCATATACTTAACAGCGTTAAGAAATCTCTCATAATTCCTTCATAATGCTTAATCTAAAGTACATAAAATGCAAATCCCTACTCGCAGACTCATTTAGTATTTTTTATATTCCCTCAGTAATGCTATCACACAAATTAACCATCTCAATCAATTAAACAGGAATATTGTTTGTCCAATGAATCCATTGTGGTAGCACCTTGAGAAAAGAAACACAAAAATTCTTCCTATATTAAAACACAGTTCTGTAACGAATCTAGTATCGATTTAATGAATGTGAATGTTTTAAAATATTTCTCTTGTTATTCAGATCCCGTACAAACTACTATAGACTCAGCAAATGATGAGGAAATGCTGGAGTGCATCAGTGTGGACAGTATTGAATACAGTAATGAATCTGATTCTGCAACTGAAGGTAATCCTTTATAAAAGCGATTATGTTTGTACTTGTAATTGAAATTTTCTAAACAAAGCTCCATTTTTTCCTGTTTTAGATGTGAATGAACATAGTGTTTCTGATATTTCTGTATCTGATGAAGAAATAGAGGTCACTGCAGATGCAGACTGCCCATTATACGAAGGTGCCCCTTTGAGTGTCAATGATAGCATGGTCGCAATTTTGTGCTTTGTGAAAAGACATGAACTTGATGGCAAAATAATTGATGACCTGCTTCAACTGATAAACCTCCACTGCAAGGCAGAAAATAACCGTATGAAAACATCATTATATCTTTTTAAGAAGTATTTTTCATGCTTGGATTGCCCTGTCAAGAACCATTACTACTGTTCAGCCTGCTATGCTAAATTGACTAAAGAAGATGGTAAAATAAGTAAATGTCCAAATGCAAATCTTCATCCAACAGTTTCAGGGCATTCTATTTTTGTGGAGTTACCACTGATCCCACAGCTGCAAAGCCTATTTAGTCAGAAAGAATTTTATTCTAATCTGAGTTACAGACACACAAGGACAAAGGTATGTCAAGAAAACTTGGAAGATATTTATGATGGCCAGATTTATAAGGAATTATTGTCAAAGGGCTTTCTGTCTCCTGACAAACCGCTCAACTTTACAAAGATAATGAACACTGATGGAATTCCTGTTTTCAAATCTACCAATAAGTCACTGTGGCCAATATTTTTCAATGTAAATGAGCTGCCTCCCCATCTGCGCTTCAAAAAGGAGTACACATTGATTGGCGGCTTGTGGTTTGGTGGGAAACCTCACGCAAATCTAATGCTGGACCCACTGTTGAAAACTTTTAAAACGATTGAGAAAGGTTTTCAGGTCACACCTCCTGGGAGTAATACACCAGCAACAGCTAAAGGAATATTGATTGCTGCCACAACAGATCTTCCGGCCAAAATCATGATTTCTGGAATGGCCAGCTATTCTGGGTCTTTTGGATGCCAAATCTGCAAAGTTAAAGGAGGAAGTGTCAAAATAATTAAGAAGAAGAAAAGCAACAAGAACAAGAAAGATAAACAAGATGTTGTACAGAAAGTTTCTTCTGCATGGGTTTATAGATTCAATGAAAACCTTGACTTAAGGAGTCACTCCGAAACCATTGAACTTGGGAAGCAAGCCCATCGCATGCTTCAGGAAACTAAGGATCCTGAAAACACAAACGTTTTGGGTGTTAAATTTCCAAGTGCTCTGTTCAAAATTATGTATGATGGTATTCGTGGATTTGCAATCGATGATTTACATACATTATATCTTGGAGTGACAAAAACCTTGATCAAATTGCTGTTTGACTCTAAGCACAGCTCTGAAACATTTTCCCTCCGCAAATATCTGCCTCTGGTTGACCAACGCCTTATGGCCATCAAGTTGCCAAACTTTTTACAGAGAGGAATCAGGAAAATTGAGACTGACTTTGCTTACTGGAAAGGCACAGAATTGCAAACATGGGCACTTTACCTGTCTATCCCAATCTTGGAAGGAATTATGCCAGATAGGTATTTAGAACATCATGTTGATCTCATTTCCAGCCTTCATGTTTTGGCATCCTCATCTATTCCACCTGAAGCATTGTTGTCTTCTGACACAAAACTAACAGATTACGTGAAGAACTTTGAAATATTGTATGGTACTCGATACATGGCAATGGTTTTCCATTTGCTTCGTCATTTGATTTTTGTTGTGAACAATCTGGGACCAATGCGGTACACATCATGTTACACATATGAAGGCCTTAATGCTGACATCTTGAAGATGATACATGGGACTCGGTATGTGGAAACTCAGCTTGCTAGTGGGTGCTTTCTAATTAAGCAACTTCCAAAGAGCCTTGAATCTTTATCATCAAAACATGTGAAAGATTTCTGCTACAAACTACTCCACCCATCTCTTCGCTTGAAGAAAAACGAAGACATTGATTCTGACACATTTTCTGTTGGAACTTACAAACTAGTGTCCACCCAACAGCAACATGTCTTTGATTCCTTAAACGGACTTGGAATTAAGGAAGCTAAGGTTGAATCATTTCTTAGACTTAAGAAGGGAAACTTGTTGTTTATTTGCAGAGTATACACTCGTTGTGTTAAAAGAAACTCTTCAGTTTGTTCTTTCTTATGTGGAAAAATTTTGAAACATGGCACAATTGATACCTTTGTCAAAGTGTCCTCAAAGTCAAGCACTGTACCAAATGTGGTGGCTTATTATGCCATAATACAGTTGGCATCAATTCTTCCTTATAAAATAGGCTCAAAAGAAGTTCCTCATATTTCAAGATATTTCCTTACAAATGATTACATAGCAATTCCTGTTTGTGATTTAAGAGACATGTTAGTCTTTGTTGAGGTTGATGATAAATCATTAGTTTGTCATCCTGTCTGAAGGTTGGCCTATTGAAAATAGTTGTGGCTTTTAAACTCTTGTTGTAAGAAAACGTGTTTTACTTTATACTTATATATTTTAAATCATCACTGCAAAAGAATATGGCTTTTATTAAATGACAAGGTGTTTTTACTTGACATAATTTGAACTGTTTATTCTTTTGAAAACAATGTTTTTAGTTAGAAGTCTAAGTTTATGTACTAAATTCTATATTTAAAAAAAAAATTGCTGTCAAATAACAAACTTATTATGTACTTCAAAAAGACCATCAAAACAATAAATAATATAAAATTTTACCACATTTTTAATGGACTTCCTCTTTCTTTTCCCTTCTAAAATACACAGGGCGTCGATTTTCTAACATATTCAATACATTAACTGAGGAAATCAAGAAACAAACAAAAGTATGCATCACCTCTTCAAAGACTTGTTATATTCATTCCGCATTCGCGCCGCGCTTGCTGCCACGACGAGGTGCTCGGGAGGACGCCGTCAAGGCCGCAAAGCACGACGTGCCTCCACAGCAAGAACGTCGGACAGTCCGTCAGCCAGGTGGTGCTTCCCTGGCCGCGCCGCGCTTGCTGCCACGACGAGGTGCTCGGGAGGACGCCGTCAAGGCCGCAAAGCACGACGTGCCTCCACAGCGAGAACGTCGGACAGGCCGTCAGCCAGGTGGTGCTTCCCTGGCCGCGCCGCGCTTGCTGCCACGACGTGGTGCTCGGGAGGACGCCGTCAAGGCCGCAAAGCACGACGTGCCTCCACAGCGAGAACGTCGGACAGGCCGTCAGCCAGGAGGTGCTTCCCTGGCCGCGCCGCGCTTGCTGCCACGACGAGGTGCTCCCGAGGACGCCGTCAAGGCCGCAAAGCACGACGTGCCTCCACAGCAAGAACGTCGGACAGTCCGTCAGCCAGGTGGTGCTTCCCTGGCCGCGCCGCGCTTGCTTTCCACGACGAGGTGCTCGGGAGGACGCCGTCAAGGCCGCAAAGCACGACGTGCCTCCACAGCGAGAACGTCGGACAGGCCGTCAGCCAGGTGGTGCTTCCCTGGCCGCGCCGCGCTTGCTGCCACGACGAGGTGCTCGGGAGGACGCCGTCAAGGCCGCAAAGCACGACGTGCCTCCACAGCGAGAACGTCGGACAGGCCGTCAGCCAGGAGGTGCTTCCCTGGCCGCGCCGCGCTTGCTGCCACGACGAGGTGCTCGGGAGGACGCCGTCAAGGCCGCAAAGCACGACGTGCCTCCACAGCGAGAACGTCGGACAGGCCGTCAGCCAGGTGGTGCTTCCCTGGCCGCGCCGCGCTTGCTGCCACGACGAGGTGCTCCCGAGGACGCCGTCAAGGCCGCAGTGCACGACGTGCCTCCACAGCGAGAACGTCGGACAGGCCGTCAGCCAGGTGGTGCTTCCCTGGCCGCGCCGCGCTTGCTGCCACGACGAGGTGCTCGCGAGGACGCCGTCAAGGCCGCAAAGCACGACGTGCCTCCACAGCGAGAACGTCGGACAGGCCGTCAGCCAGGTGGTGCTTCCCTGGCCGCGCCGCGCTTGCTGCCACGACGTGGTGCTCGGGAGGACGCCGTCTAGGCCGCAGTGCACGACGTGCCTCCACAGCGAGAACGTCGGACAGGCCGTCAGCCAGGTGGTGCTTCCCTGGCCGCGCCGCGCTTGCTGCCACGACGAGGTGCTCCCGAGGACGCCGTCTAGGCCGCAGTGCACGACACCTAACGCCACGGTGGCCGTGACGCTATGCTGCGCGTGGAGCTGCTTGGTGCAGCACGTTGTCTGCCTTGGTTGCGTCCACTCCCAAGACGCGGTGGAGCGCCGTTTCTGCCTGTAACGAGTTATGTTTTCCTCGAGTCGTTTTTTAACATTTCATACTGCATGGGAAATTTGAAAATGAAGAAAATCGCACCACGTCCGCGGTTTTGAGCTGATTCCCCGCGCACTCCACGTGTTCGTGGTGTTGTCTCCAAAACAACGTCCTCGTCGATGAGAAGCTCCAACAGTGAGCGGCTGTTTTCCAGGGCCAACTCCCCCTCAAGCACCTCCACTATCTGCCGAAGAATCTGAAGCTTCGATGGGAGACTCTGGAGGTCGCGCTCCACTCGAGCGATCTCGTTCTACAAATCAAGAGTTCAACGGGTTGCATGACCGAACATGTAGACATTCTTTCGAGGGGACGGGAGTTGGAGGGGTGAGGTGCAGGGCCTTGTCATGGTCACGATGTGGAGATCACCGACCAAAATATTTTCCCACATATCCCGGTCGGTAGGAAATGCTAGCCGATGCTAGCGCTCCACACCGCGTTACATACAGGTAAAGCCTAATCAAAAACTAATTACTCCAACAACCATGTGATAATTTTCCAGACGTGCATATAATGCACTATTACACATACCGATAGAAAAGCCAGGCAGTCTAGAAGTACAGTTCTGCGGCTGAGGGCAATGTCCAGAAACGCACCACTTCCATGAGAAGACATCTTGCAATGTCGTAGCCTAGAGATGGCACTACAATGGGCCACTAACGCCAACAGGGCTCAATAATGCAGAGTTCACTGTACCTCAATCAATTTAAGGTGCTTATAATTATAGTTGTACAAGGCCCTCCCGTGAGGTAATCACCGCGGCAGGACAGTACCATCGCGAGCACGGAGCACCTCGACATCGCACGCCCTAGAATTTGCCACACCTTCTCGACGGACTGCCTGACATCCTCCCTGAAGGCACGCTATGCAAACTGGCCTTCGGCGCATTCCTTCCGAGCAACTCGGTGCACCGGCAAAATAATAACCGCTTGATAGTGTCCTCGATCCCCTCGCCGTAGTCGAAGTATGAAGTAAGTTGTTCCAAGTCGTGTTTGCATCGAACATATCAGCGTTTCTCGGGCAATCTGCAGCGATGCGGCTGACTGAGTGAACCTGAATGCTCACTGAGCCTTGTGTGCTGAGAATGGCTGAGAATTTCTCAGGCAATCTGCAGCAAGGCGGCTGACTGAGTGAACCTGAATGCTCACTGAGCCTTGTGTGCTGAGAATGGCTGGGAATTTCTCAGGCAATCTGCAGCAAGGCAGCTGACTGAGTGAACCTGAGGGTTCACTGAGCCTTGTGTGCTGAGGATGGCTGCGAATTTCTCAGACAATCTGCAGCGAGGCAGCTGACTGAGCGAACCTGAGTGCTCACTGAGCCTTGGTCGCTGAAGATGGCTGAGAATTTCTCAGGCAATCTGCAGCGAGGCGGCTGACTGAGCGAACCTGCAGGTTCACTGAGCCTTGTGTGCTGAGAATGG